ATTCCGCATCCCCACAAAGGCTGCTCTACAGGTTTGGCATTCCAGCCATTTCATTTGTATATATAGAAAAATGTGTATGCATGTATTTATCTGTTTAATGTGAATGATTTGCAATCTTTTCACTGTTACCATTTTCAGGAGGCTTATTCGACTCCAATTCTGCCTTTAGATATCCTCGCAGACAGACTTCCGGTGAAAAAGTTTGAGTGGGTAGGTCTCTCTCAAGTAATAGATTTATCAATCAATTTCTTTATAGACACACTGTCCCTTGTTCACTTTGTGACATTCTTGTGTTTTTACATGGCATTGTGGTTGGCGTTGACCAAATTTTCTCAGGCTAAGGTATGTCCTATTGTTGTTATTACCCCCATTTTTTTATTAATTTTTTTTTTTTTTAAATTTTGAAACGCAGGATACAGATAATTTTATCACTATAGCTGTTATTTTTCTCATTACTATTATGTGCACTTGCATATGACAAATTAGGAGTGCATATGCCAGAGGTTAGTGAATTAATGAGCTACATGTTACAAATGGAGTAATAGTGGGACCAACATTGGGTGAACAAGAAGATGGAGCAAAAAATATAAATAAAAAAAAAAGTTTTGCCAAAAACAAAGTTTATGTTAAATATAAAAAATCAAAAAAGATATATTTGGGTTGTCCAACATGTTTTGTTGTTTTTGTTTTCATTTATTTTCAAGAGATATCTTTGTCCTGTTAGTCATGTATTTATATCCATCTTATCGTCAAATATGAAGCACTCTTGAATGAATTCTAGGACTTCTGCAGAACTGATTGACTTTTCCGACTTGACTCTTATCTGCAGAGGTTGTTGGCAAAGTATGGATCCTTGATTTCTGTGATCTCCATTATGGCTTCGTTTGTCTATCTGGTTGCAACCCCATCAAAATCTAATGCTGCAAAAGGAAGCAAGAAGAAGCGCTAATCAATAAAGAGGCTAACACCCTTGGTAACATCCATTAGCAGGTCTGCCATTAGCTTCAGTTTGAGGCAAATAGTTTGTCAAAATCTATTGTTGTTAGTCAAAGAGTTTTTTTCCCCTCCCCCTTGTTTACTTTAGGACTTCGTTTGTGAAAGTTTCTAATAAAGTGGGTGTTTGGGAAGTGGCTATTATTTAGACTTTTTGGCGTTTTGGCTATTCTAATTTTTGTGTTTGGGAAAATATGATGGATTTTTATTTGAGTTGTTGTATTGGAAAATGTGTTTAAAATGATGTGAGGCTAAAATGACAAATTTGTCTCTAACTCACTTTTTCCAAAATTGGTCGAAAGGGGTAAAATTGTCATTTCCTATCTATGGGACTAGGCTGTCTCCACTGCCGGCTGCTTTTTTTTAATTAATATAAATAATTGATTTAATGCGGCTGAGGTTATTTGGCTTTTTTCTTGAATGGGGCTAAAATAGCCTCTCACTTCACTTCCCAAACACCACCTATGATTAGCTAGACGTGAGATTATGAGATCTGCTGCTGATATTTGGGCTGCTGTTGCGCACTCTAGAATTACTATCAACTTAAACTACTGTCCAAAGCTCCATCTGCAGTTGTCTCTGTACATTTCTTGATCGGGGACCTCTTATCAGTTTTGAATTGTATTAATTCTGTTGACTCAACCCACTGACTGCCTGCTTTTACTCTTTATCTGATGTAGAGAACTAGTTCTTATTATGCTGATGAAATTTTGGACCATTTTGCATATCTCAGTTTGCTTGGAACAAGAGTTGTGATTTGTTGATAGTGAAGAGATTTGAGGGTTATTTCTGCTCTCTACTTTTTGTTATTTTGTGTAGCACAAAATTTGCCTTGATGGACTCTATGTTGTAGGTAATGAATTTGGAGCAATATTATAGAATTGAGTCCCTCCAACCTCTGTTATTTTATGCATTCAGAAATATGTTATATGTAACAGCAAACAGCAAATGGGTTGGTATAGGGCGATGATTATGTCCATATTTTCACAATGATTTGCTGGGGGATGATCCTCTTTTTCATTGTCATCTGCATGGACTGGACACAATTGAGTTGTCATGGATTCATCTTATCTGAAGGTTTGACATTTTGGTAAGCATTGATATAATAAGATTGCCCAAGTTCTAAGCCTATGTTGTCATTAATTATTAATAGCCTGAGATTCTATTAACTTCAATTTATAGGTCCGTTTGTTTTCAGAGGTAGAATGGAATGAATTGATAGTGAGGAGATTATTAGTGAAAAGATTAATAATGAGGGAAATAGTAAAATTGTGTTTGTTTTGATGATTGTTGTTAGTGTGTGGATTGTTAAATTATTTTTATATAAAATAATAAAACAAATAAAATTATGATTTTTACTTAACAAAAAATACAAAAATATTAAACATTAATGTTATAAAAAAAATGCCCAACAAGTATATTAAAAAAAAAATTGCAATTGACTGGTTGACCAGCCGGACGATCGGCCGGATTTTTAGGCGGATGTCCGGTAACACCTTAAGCTGAACGGATTAACTTCTAATATCACCTCCTCGCACAGACTACTAATCCAAACCTTCATTTCCAAAATAAACATGGAATTGGGGGCCTATTCATCTATCACAGTCCACTCCAGATTGTAATAGCAAAAAACAAACGGGCCTTAGAATTGAACTCAAACCTACTCCTATTACCATTTACAGATGCATAAAGTGTTTTTATTTTTTATTTTTTAGAAAGGATATAATTGCAATAATAACCATATATAAATGTCTACAATAGTGAATCTTTTGAGACAATTATAGATTTTTTGACAACTCACTTCGTGTATTTTGTTCATTATAATGAGAAATTATATTAGAAATTCTAAATAAATTATTAAATTTTTTTGCTAAACCTTTCACGAAAACGCATGTAATTTGTGTAATAGCATTTTCTTTATAACGAGTGCCAGGAAAGGTAGTATCTGAACTATGATGCCCAAATTCAAGCTGTTGGGAAATATTTTGTGTTCTCGATAGCGATGATAGTGGAAATATTTGAATGGCAGAATGCTTATAGGCTTATGTTGACCGTATTTTGTGAAGTTGCTTGTAAAAGTCGAGCCAAATTTAGGCCAAGTTTGGGAAGACTAAATAAGTGTACTTTTTATCTTTTTAGACTAAAAAGTTGAGGTTGAAAATATGAATGTTTGGGTTAACTTTTTGACTTTTTATGGAAAAATGTGTAATAAAAAATTGTAAAAATTGATTTGTAGGAGAAAATTAGAATTGGGAGTTGTGCAGCCGTAATTGTTGACTTTTGGTGAATAGTGATAACTTTTTAACTTTTTGAGTAACTTTTTAGCTTTTTGACTTTTTGGGGTGTTCTCAAACTTGGCCTTATTATGTTCAGTGATGCTATTAAACAGCCATTTAAACTCACCGTCTGACTGGACGCTGCTCCTAGCTGTGTTGTACTGTAATTTAGGTCTTGTTTGGCATAAATTAAAAAATTTTAAAAATCACTGTCCTATTTAAGTCACATCATTTTATTTAAATCACATCACTTCTCTATCACATCACTTTAAATCGAACTCATACACAACCCATGTTTCATAAAAAATCAAAAAATATACTTATTTAGATCATCCCAAACAACTCCTTAATCTCAAAGTTTTGCATTGATGCAAAGTTAGGCACCGTTTGGGAAGAAGATTTGTAGATTTTTTTGACTATTTTAATCACAAAAGACAAAATAAGCTATTTTAGTTACAACTAACAAAACATCACATCCAACCCATAATCATTATACTCTTCTCTCACAAAAAAAGTTAAAAAGTCAAAAAATCCTTTCAAAACTAAGCTTTTAAACTCAAACTAAAATGGCTAAAAAAATCAAAAAACTAAAAAACCAACTTACTTCCCAAACTAACCCTTAATATATTCAGCCTCCGTTTGGGAAGTGAGTTGACTTTTTGACTTTTTGACTTTTTTGGCTATTTTAGTCCGGGCTTAAAAGCTTAGTTTGGGAAGGACTTTTTGACTTTTTGACTTTTTTAAATTTTTTTTGTGAGAGAAGAATGTAATGATTATGGGTTGGATGTGATGTTTTGTTTGTTATAACTAAAATAGTCTATTTTATTTTTTGTGACTAAAATAGTCAAAAAAACCCAAACCATGGCTTCCCCTCAATTTGACCATAAGAATGTGATTAAATAGTTGCCGGTTTTTAACGTTTAATGTTGTGGTCTCAAATTCAAATTATGTCATGAAATAGCCTCCGCAGCAGGTGGGCTCTCTCGGAATACAACATTTCATCAATACCAAGTCACCTAAACCTACTCCACGAGTTTTCAAACCTGATAATCAATAATGTCATTACTGGTTGACAAAACGCATGAGGGTGGGGACACAGGATACCATAACCATTCAAAAATAATAATTAAAATAAAAAAAGAAAAAGAAAAAGAAGAAGAGGATGATTTAGGCTGCACTGGGCATAAAAGACAGACGATCTCTGATGCCCGATAATTCACTTGTGGTCTTTTCTTGGGTTCATGGTACGGCCGGTTGGACAGCTATTCCAGGTGCTACAAATCCCCGGAGGCTTTCAGAGAGATGACGAGTTGCTTTCTCATAATTGACAAATCCCATGAACCAGAAATCATGGCCGTCAATTGTGACCATCTGGAGATACTTTTCTGATGGATTATCCCTCATGATCACTGGGTTGATGGCGCAGATATTGCCCAGAGGTACCATAACCTGTTCCCATTAATCAACTGATCTCTGTTACTACTACAAATTATTATTAATTATTATTGTTCTAAGAAGAACTAAAAATACGGAGATTGTTATAGTAATAATAATAATAATAAACGCTTACAATAGTGCTATATTCCATATCAGGGCATGGGTTCAATTTGTTTGTTATTACCTTGTAATAGCTCCAAGACTGTTGGCCGGAGGGTGCAGTGACGGATAGGGGTCGATCGCTGCAAAAAGCTACATGAATGTTGGACAGATAGATAGTTCCGGCGACAGGTCCGGTGGTGGTGGAGAGGTAACAGGCAAACGTCTTCTTGAGCTTCTCATTTTGGGGAAGGTTCGAAAAAGTCTGCTTGTACAAAGACTCAAAACCGCACCTCCTGTTATTGCCTTTCGCCGTCAGGTTCCACTTTATCCCCACGCTGCTCCGATACAGATGGCCCTGTTTCCACTGTCAACAGACAGGACGGAAGAAGAAGAAAAACAAAAACAAAACAAAAAAATTAAAGACATTTTTCGAAATTTTTTCTTGTAGGAAGGAAGGGATTTAAAATGGGTGGTTATAATTTGTGAAAGAATGAATAGATTGTTTTGAAGAAGATACATACGGATGGTTCCAGAGTATTGTGGGAGGTGATCATCGGGCCTTTTTGGCTCCAGGAGTTGAACTTATGGAAGAAACATTCCATGGGACTGGTGGTGGGTGATTAGGCTTGTCAACTGAGGAGTAGTAAGAGGTAACGGGTGGTTGGTGCTGCTGGGCTTGGGAGGATCCGCCTCCTCCTCGCTCCTCCTCCGGCAGTCATAAGGCGGCCTTAGTTGATTGGCGGGGTGCGAAGTGGGTAACAGCAGTGCAACCCATCGATGTGGGTCCCCCATTTCTGTCTCGGAGTTCGCCTGTGCTGTTGTTTACTGGAGGAGGAGGAGGAGGAAGGAGGAGGAGGAGGAGGAACCCCGAGTCAATGACCGGGGGGGCCCCCCCCCCAACAGGCCTTGATGAGCTACTGACCGTTGATTCCATCGTGTGGTTGGAGGAGGAGATCTTCAATGAAAGGGGAAGGAGAATGACACAGAGAATATTAAAATTAACGCTCTCTTGCGATGAGGATGAGAGATGAAGGATGAGGATGAGGAGCATCAGTTCTCTTGTGATATTTTTAGCTATTTGCTTTAATTATGGTAGGACAAACCACAATCCCTGTCATATCAATGGAGGGAAAGACCATGCAAATACCAAGGGGCTGTGAACGA